TATCTTGGATAGTTTGTTTGAAACAGCTTTGAACAGCGCTAAACGCAAAGTGTGATGGAAGGACGGAGGGATGGAAGAAGGACATGACAAACACTATATGCCCCAGCCATATTCATGGGGGAGCATAAAAAAATTGCAAAAGAAATGTCTAGCAATTCTACTTGTACACTAATTTTTTGCAATCCATTAATGAACAATATTATTTTTACTGTGTAATTCAATAAATCTGATTGGTTTGCTTGCTATCAAGTGCAAAATTATATTTTACGACATTATCTGGAGTTACTAAAAATAACTTAAGGAAAATCCAAAGATGTGTTTATAATGGTGAAAAGTCTTTAAAACTTACAAATTCCTACATAATGAATTTGTTTGTCTCTTTCTTTTCCATTTAAAATAACAAATGTAACCCTTTGATTCGGTCAATCCATAGGTATATCAACTTCATAGAAAATCATATCTAATTCACACTTAGTCTACAAGTTTTTCCTGTGAAGTCAATATATCTATGGATCGACCTCATAAAAGGGCTATATTTGTATAATATAGTGTATATGATACTTTGTTAAAATAAACAAGAATAACAATAGTATTTCAAAAAGAATAAAGTATATTTGTTTATAACTATTCAAATTACAATATAAATGTGATACATAAACACATAGCTTAATTGTACAAGTTAATACAGTTCCATACAGCATGTTTTGTTTGTGATCTCTACATAGATTACATCTACTAATGATGTAAATATAATGGCCATATTTCCAATTAAGCACAAAACATACACTATACGATTTACAGCTGTGTGGCTTTCATTAAATCACTACCATTGATTACAATGCATGATTATTATGGTTATAATGATTACAATAATTACATTGTACAGTTGTGCTATCAATATCCAACTTGTGTAGTAAATAATTCATATACAAAATCATTGCAAATTACTCTGTTGAGATTGACATTTGATTTCAAAGTACATTTCATTCAAAAATCTTTGGAAAAATATTTTGAAACCATCATGTTCAATTTTGTAAATTATGAAATACTGAGATGTTAAAAAGATTTTGGATCTATAGAATTAAATTCCACTTTCTAAAACAGTCCAATGAAAAAATGTTGGGATATGTTTCTAGATTTTAAGGGGTTATGATAATAAATAACACAAAAAATATTCCGCACCTATTGAAGCAGTCTTTCTTGAAATTAAGCTAAAAAAATCAAGACACAAAAGTTAGATAATAAAAAGAGAGGAAAATTGTCATTAAATGCTAGATTATTGGGAAAAATCTAACAACAAAGTACAGTGTATTGGAGATAATTGTTCCTGAAAAGTGAAAAAAAAAAACTGAATAAACAATGATTAAAACTAACTCATACAGAGATTATATAATTAGGGGGGAAATACTGCCATCTTCCTGTGTGCTGTGAATACTAATTAATGCTTGTTATAGACTAGAATATTGCTGAAGACAGGCGATGTAAACACAATACGTTAAGACTAGCAAATTAGAGAGACGATTTGATACCAATGACGTAAAATGATAACAATAAAATGTCCAAACAAAATACAACCTCAAATGATGTTTTTAACACTTCCTTTAATGAATTAGGATTATACTTCATTGAAATTATGCAACTGGAATCTGATATGTATTTCTTGTAATTTAAAATTATGCTCTGCAAGAAAATTCAAATTATGCTAACTAATTCTAAAGCTCACTAGGAAAATTGCTATTTAAATTGTAGTACATGTATCTTTTAAAAATTATAATATTTTATATAAAATAAGAACTATTCAAATACCTCTGCTGGACAACTTAAGGACATACTTGTAAAACCTCATCATCTTACACACCAGGTTCGTCTGATGTGACAACTCTACTGGTTTTAATTTTCCTTTTTTTTTTTTTTAAAGTTTCTTTTCAGTTCTACATTTACGGGATTTATATTTTCTAAACTTGTACCAAGTTTTTACTCATACCAATTTCAAAAGTACATGTATAATATGTTAGTGGATCAACATTTGGTAAATATTTCACACATTTTTAGTTACCAGGTAGGCATTATATATTTTGAGTTAGTTTACTATCCTAAAGTATGTCACACCTCTGGTCATTAGCAACCTTTTCGTCAAGTATGAAAGTGTGATTGACCAAAACAAGTTTTGAATTACTGAATCAAGTATGCCCCTGACTTTACCAAGACAACCGTCACCAAGAACGATGTCACAAGCAATTTTTCTAGAGAGTATGGCCAGCCTTGGCTCTTCCAACATATTTTGAAATTTTTCTTATAGTTTTACAATTCCAAGACCTTCAGAATTTGACACTTCTGAATTTTGTTACCTTCAGTTAATTTTATCTATGTGACCTCCATTCAAAACCAATATGACATATCTTTAGAGTTAAATCAACTTTCAGACCAAGTATACCTTTTCATAATGTAATTCCATTAGAACGTTTTGATATGCACAAAGATTTTTATACTTCAATAAAAGTTAATACCATGACTTTTTCCACATGACAAGGCCATTACACATCATCTGTTTAAATTCAACCTTTGCATCAAGAATAAGTTTGTAATTTTTCTGACTTCAAGGATATGACCAAGTACGAATTTTATACTTCCTTGACCTTTGACCCATGACCTTTTTCTTATCAAACTTATGTTATCAACCAAAACTCAGGATGTCTCATATACATTGTTAAGAAAAATTCAAAATTCAAGGACCATTATTCCATTAAAACTGTTATGGGAGACTGAAGTTTACTTGATCTATTTCTATCAGTTACCACACACCAAATTCAATGTATCACATGATGGGCCAAGGATACAAATGCTGTTTTTACTCAAAAAACTTTGGTTAAATGAGATAACAATGAGTGCTATAAAAAGGTACATGTAACTAATGTAACATAAATAGTTCAAATAAAAAAAAAATACTTCTAAAGAAACAACCTTTCAAACACATTGTGTACCCAAACACAGACATGTTCTAATAACATAAAATACTGTACAAGTAAAACTAACTCATACAGAGATTATATAATTAGGGGGGAAATACTGCCATCTTCCTGTGTGCTGTGAATACTAATTAATGCTTGTTATAGACTAGAATATTGCTGAAGACAGGCGATGTAAACACAATACGTTAAGACTAGCAAATTAGAGAGACGATTTGATACCAATGACGTAAAATGATAACAATAAAATGTCCAAACAAAATACAACCTCAAATGATGTTTTTAACACTTCCTTTAATGAATTAGGATTATACTTCATTGAAATTATGCAACTGGAATCTGATATGTATTTCTTGTAATTTAAAATTATGCTCTGCAAGAAAATTCAAATTATGCTAACTAATTCTAAAGCTCACTAGGAAAATTGCTATTTAAATTGTAGTACATGTATCTTTTAAAAATTATAATATTTTATATAAAATAAGAACTATTCAAATACCTCTGCTGGACAACTTAAGGACATACTTGTAAAACCTCATCATCTTACACACCAGGTTCGTCTGATGTGACAACTCTACTGGTTTTAATTTTCCTTTTTTTTTTTTTTAAAGTTTCTTTTCAGTTCTACATTTACGGGATTTATATTTTCTAAACTTGTACCAAGTTTTTACTCATACCAATTTCAAAAGTACATGTATAATATGTTAGTGGATCAACATTTGGTAAATATTTCACACATTTTTAGTTACCAGGTAGGCATTATATATTTTGAGTTAGTTTACTATCCTAAAGTATGTCACACCTCTGGTCATTAGCAACCTTTTCGTCAAGTATGAAAGTGTGATTGACCAAAACAAGTTTTGAATTACTGAATCAAGTATGCCCCTGACTTTACCAAGACAACCGTCACCAAGAACGATGTCACAAGCAATTTTTCTAGAGAGTATGGCCAGCCTTGGCTCTTCCAACATATTTTGAAATTTTTCTTATAGTTTTACAATTCCAAGACCTTCAGAATTTGACACTTCTGAATTTTGTTACCTTCAGTTAATTTTATCTATGTGACCTCCATTCAAAACCAATATGACATATCTTTAGAGTTAAATCAACTTTCAGACCAAGTATACCTTTTCATAATGTAATTCCATTAGAACGTTTTGATATGCACAAAGATTTTTATACTTCAATAAAAGTTAATACCATGACTTTTTCCACATGACAAGGCCATTACACATCATCTGTTTAAATTCAACCTTTGCATCAAGAATAAGTTTGTAATTTTTCTGACTTCAAGGATATGACCAAGTACGAATTTTATACTTCCTTGACCTTTGACCCATGACCTTTTTCTTATCAAACTTATGTTATCAACCAAAACTCAGGATGTCTCATATACATTGTTAAGAAAAATTCAAAATTCAAGGACCATTATTCCATTAAAACTGTTATGGGAGACTGAAGTTTACTTGATCTATTTCTATCAGTTACCACACACCAAATTCAATGTATCACATGATGGGCCAAGGATACAAATGCTGTTTTTACTCAAAAAACTTTGGTTAAATGAGATAACAATGAGTGCTATAAAAAGGTACATGTAACTAATGTAACATAAATAGTTCAAATAAAAAAAAAATACTTCTAAAGAAACAACCTTTCAAACACATTGTGTACCCAAACACAGACATGTTCTAATAACATAAAATACTGTACAAGTAGAAATTTTCCTAAGGTTAAATTTGATGGTTTTGCAGAAATTTCATATTAATATTAAATAAAGACTTAATCTTGCTGTTTTCAAACTGCTGTTTAATAATGTACATGATGTTTGTAGTGTACAATGCCATGCCAAAAAATTTCATCATGTATTTATTTTTTTAAAGAATTTTATCTTTGGTTAATCAAAAAATGAACTAAATTCACTAGGAAAATTTTTGCCTCTACAGTAATTATTATATCTTTTCTAAATTAAAAAGATGTTGTGTATATATAACAAAACAAAACCAATAACTAGAGATTCAACCATAAATAAAAAAAAAAAATGGGGAAAAATGCCCTGTAAAAAATTAGCACACATACATTGTACAACATGCAAGTAAACTACATTATCAATGCCTCACATATGGCACAATTAAAATGAACAAGACTTCAATTTCTTTGATCATCAATAACTTTTAAGCACACGCATATAAGGCTAAATAAGAAACTACCTGGAAAATTGATTTTAACACGGAACATTGATAGAAGCCTTGTATCATAACAAAGCTCTATTAGTGAATCAATCTTAAAACATTTTATATGAACAATAAGACATTTCACAATTGTGTAGTACATACATTGCGAATTAATTGTGGAACACTTTTCTTGCGTATCATTCTTACAAATCTACATGTATGTACAACAACAACATGAAATAAGAATACATCCTCAACAATGAAAATTATACATATAAGAAAATACAATTTTCACTTAATCTCATAAAGATTTATTATACTGTAGCTTTTAGCACAGTTTAATTGACAAACAAAAGCTTTTATGACTCATTAAGGGAATACAAACAACTTCATAGAATTCATATCCTGATAATGCTTGTTGTTTTCCAACTAGAAATGAACTACAACTGCTTTTTTATGAATATTTCTTAATAGCATTCACTTCTAAAATTCAAGAATCATACTTCACAGAAAACATTTGTAAATATACAATTCTAATGCAGTAAGAATGAAATGTAGATGAGGTCATGACCTCTGACCTCAAACCTTTTCTTCATTTGAGGATGCCTGTTCATTATTTGGGACAAAAGGTCTGTATTCTGGAGGAGTGCTGCAGTAACTGGGGGGTCTCTGGTCCTGGGGACCCTCTCCTTCACCCTCCTGGGGAGGGGCACTGGGTTCCTGCCAGATTCTGTCACTTTGCACTGACTCCTTCATTAAATCAAATGTTTCTTGGTCACTATGACAACCATTGTCTGTGGCTTGTACTGGGTGATAGTTCTCTGAAAGGAAAAGCAAGATAAAATGTAAGATATCAAAACTCTCAGTGATGTTGAAAATGATATACATGTATACAGGAATACATATATTTAAGAAACACTAACTCAGTACCTATATAGTATATTCCAGGCAACTTTAGCTTAGGCCAAACAAAAAAATATGTGTGGTTCCGGTTACACCTCCAAAAAAATTAGGACAGGTAGGTAGGGATTTTTTTTTTTTTTTTTTTTACAAAATTATTTCTTAATTTCTCTAAATAATACCTATCACTGCTTTGCAAGTGGCATTTAGATGTGGTGTGATAATATACTAGTCAGCATTGGTAGGGGACACCTACATGCTAGCTTGCTTAGGATTTAACACTATTAAAAACTTGCACTATGTGTTGAAATGATGTTTTGCAAGGAAATCGGAGAAAATTCTGGAAAAAATATGAAAATTGCCGAAAAAAAGTTTAGGGTCGGGGGTATAAAATAGGGAAGTTCGGGTAACCGGAACCACACATATTTTTTTATTTGGCCTTAAAACAATTTTTCAATAAAAGGAAAAATTTCAGTATTGTACCATACTTATACTTATGCTAAATTTGATTGAATTTTGATGAATATATTTTTTTTCTTATATTTATTTTGCACTCTTGGAAGAATAAGCAAATATGTATGACACATGATCTTTTCCTAGCGGCGCTGGCAAAGATATACTGTATAACAGGTATATTCTGTGATTGTCCAATTTTTACAGAATTTTGCAGATTAGACAAATTTGCAAAAATTACAATTGCAAAATTTTTCTTCAATTTTTATTCAAATATTTTATACATTTGAGTGGTGCATATGTCAGTCAACCTAAATTAATGTTATTTCATAACTTCTTACTGTATTTTCAAAAAAAAAGAATTACATGTAAGCTTACAGATGTACAAAATAAAATGTAAGTGAAAATAATTTGTGCAGACTAACAAGAAGTACCAGTTCCCATGCACCATTGATCAATATGTCTTTAAATAAAGTTATAACACGTAAACAGTGTTCTGTCAATTCTTAAAATTTGGTGTTCATATCACTTAAATAATTTTTTGCCGTATAATGCAACCGCAGAAAATGAAAACGCAGAAATTAATTTGCTACCTTTTAGGGGTCAAATCACAAAAATTTCCAACCGCAAAAGGCATCCGTTAAACATTAGTAATTGATCCTTGAATTAGTAATTGATCCTTGGTGTTGTCAATAAATAAATTGAATTGAATTGTTCCTTGACCTTCTCACTTACCTCATGCTGAATACAGAATGTGAAGTGTGCCCACCAACCTGATGTTGATCTTGGTATGTGAGGTGTGCCCGCCAACTAACTTGATGTTGATTACAGTAAGTGAAGTGTGCTCATTGGCCTGGAGATGCTTATCTTGGTATATATGTTCATAAACCTGATGTTGATCTAGGTATGTGAAGTGTGTCCAATATCTTGATGTTAAGTACAGTATGTGGAGTGTGCCCACTGACCAGCAGATGCTGATCTTGATATGTGATGTGTGCCCACTAACCCAATGTTGATCATGATATGTGAAGTGTGTCCACTTTCTTGATGTTGATCTGGGTCTGTGAAGTGAGCAGACTAACCTGATGCTGATCACAGTATGAGAAGTGTGCCCACTGATTTTGATCTGGGTATCTGAAGTGTGTCCACTAACCTGATACTTATCTGGGTATGTGAAGTGTGCCCACTAACCTAATGCTTATCTGTGTATGTGAAGTGTGTCCACTAACCTGATACTTATCTGTGTATGTGAAGTGTGCCCACTTACCTGATACTTATCTGTGTATGTGAAGTGTGCCCACTTACCTGATACTTATCTGTGTATGTGAAGTGTGCCCATTTACCTGATACTTATCTGTGTATGTGAAGTGTGCCCATTTACCTGATACTTATCTGTGTATGTGAAGTGTGTCCACTAACCTGATACTTATCTGTATGTGAAGTGTGCCCACTTACCTGATACTTACCTGTGTATGTGAAGTGTGCCCACTTACCTGATACTTATCTGTGTATGTGAAGTTGCCCACTTACCTGATACTTATCTGTGTATGTGAAGTGTGCCCACTTACCTGATACTTATCTGTGTATGTGAAGTGTGCCCACTTACCTGATGCTGATCGTGGTATGTGAAGTGTGTAATCATGGGCCCGCCCCCGTTCCATGGCTGTGCGGCGTTTGACGTACCACACCAGAAATATAACAATGACACAGGTACATATGGTGACACAGCCCAGGACAGCAATGATGATAATGACAGTAACACTCATACTGCCACCAAACGCTGAAAATAAACAACATTATTAGTTAACAGTTTGTTACTGACTGTACACAGAAATATGATGAGTTGTTCAAGTCCATGGATGCAAGGCAAAACCAAGCCCTCCATGAACTTGAACAATGTGTCATATTTCTGTGGACAGTCAGTTACAAACAAATGGTTAACAAACCTACGGAAAACAATTACAGTAATAAAGAATTTTCTTGTCTGTACAACTCATAGTTAACTGATTACATCACTGAGAAGGGGCCCTACTCTAAACTTAATCCCAGCATTGCCAAATGCGTAAAGTGTAAATATATATATATTTTTAAATTAGGGTAAGGGTTCGTAAATGCAAACATAATGCTAGCATGATCTTTTTCAGTAAATTTTGATGACATAGTCATTTAATCTGCCATGTTGCCATCCAAATTCTGCTAATTGTCATCCAAAGAAATATTGAAGGCAGGTACGTAAATCTGTTATCCAATGACAGATTATCATTCTAATCCAAGGCAAAACTAGAGGTACTTTGAGCACTGAGCTCACAAAATTATACCTCCCACTCCCATTTAAGTACATGTATAATGACAAAGTCCATTTTTTGCTATGGGAAAGCCCAAATATCTGTCTGATCAAAACATAAAGTAGGGGGAGTTGTGGATAAGAAAAGGGTACCCACAATTTTATAAAAAGAATGGTGATGTCCATGTTTTGCTATGGGAAACCCTAGATATGTGTTTGATTAAAAAGTAAAACAGGAGGTCACAATGGCACATTGTATATAATAAAGATTCTTTGAAAGTCTCATTGAATTTTATTCAGTGGTATAAGAGGAGTTGCAGATAAGAGATGGATACCCCAGAGCATAACAGATCGACAGATTTACAGAAAGACGGACACCTACATCACTATACATCCCTTCCCCCCTCCCCCATCCTGCTTGAAACAGTAATGATAATCATACCCATACTGTTATTTCTGACACCATCACATTAGATGAAAAACTTCTACTAAAAGCATTCAATAGATGGAAAGTATTCCCTTTTATGTAATACATTGTCTTGCACTCCAAAATGACAGTATCGATAGGTGAAATTTTCAATGGTTTCTATTCCAGGAAGGAGGACTATTAATAATGGTTGTGGGGGAATGTTTGTTGTGGAAGTAGTAAAAGATTATGTTAGGAACAAATAGTTTGTAATATTTTGAGATGGCAGCAAAAATATAGGGAGAAATAAATAGAAAAAACAATGCACATTTTTGTGCACAACATACCTTTTTTCAATGGATGACACTGTAGCTCACTAGTCATCATTTCAGACCAGAGAGCTACAGACCTGCAGCTACTTTATTGAAAATTGCATTTTTTTTTTCAAATTACTTCAACAATTTTATTGTCTGTAATATCATGTTATATGATGCCACTGAGCAATAGATCTGATATATGGCTATACTTTCCTTTCAGTATGCATTGTAATTATATTTTTATATTTCTCTGTATTTTGTATCTGAAGTGAAGGTCTTTATCGTAAGTCTTGTTTACCAGACTCTGCAATCTGTTCCTGTGGTATTCTAGCATCCTCTGAACAAATAGACACCGCTGTCATATAGAACGAGTACTTCTGTACCATACTGACTGGAAACCCACGTAGATTCTCCAGTCTAACCGTAGCCGTGCTCCCGCTACTGCACCATTTCTTATTCTGAATGTTCTGATTTTGACAGCCTCCAACCTACAAATATATACATATATTAAAATTCTCCAACTTCCAAATATATACACTGTAGCTTTAAATTCTCCAACCTACAAAGTTTTATTTCAATCAGAAAATTCCTACAGGAAAAATGTCTGAATAAGAATAGATTCTATCAAAGCTAACTAATAATAAAATAAATTTATTTAAATCAAACAAAAAGTTATATCAACAGAAAATCTCTGAGGCAAAGAATCTAAGACATCAAGTTGTTAAGATGCTTATCCAAAGCAATTTTTACTGGGGACATCATTCCTTAACGTAAAGTAAAAAGTATTGTCTAATACAAACTCCATTTTTAATGACATCCAGGATCCAAGAATTAGGAAACAGACTGAGACACATGTCAAAATTTCAATTATATCTGCCAACATGCTTACTGATTGTAAAATAACTACCGTATTTGACTTTAATTTAATAAACAAATCTTGACTTCAGGCTACAAATAGCATGTTTTATGATTCCGGGGACAAAATTCTAAACTCCGATATCTTGTATGAAAAAAAAAAACACAAATGAGATTTGATATGTGTATTACTAGACAGGATGACATAAGATCAATCTATTTTGCTTCCTTTCTTTGCATGTACAGCACACCAGAGGAAATGTTACACCAATAAAGGAATAATAGACCTTCACTTTCCCACTGAGTATCCTTGAAGCGATTCTGAGCATCATAGGCTGGTGTATAAAATTTCAATTTAAAATCCTTAATGGGTGTTTGACGAAGACACATCAATTTCAAAATCTATAAAGCTAGTTTACAGCTATTCTTAATAACGCTAGGTAATAATGGATATTTTCAGCCCATCAGCTCCTTCTGCAGAGGAATAATGGAGGAGATATAGAATTCAAAGATATCAAGAGACAAAGAAAATGTCAGTAAATGGATGGAGATATAAAGATTGATTTTTTTAACAGGTAGTCACTGCTCTGTGATTTCTAAGCATGAAACTACTTTTGGGAGTGATACATGAGAATGCCATGGACACTTACATAATTGATTATTGATCAGCCATTGTCATATTGTGAAGCGTTGCTGCAGGCTTCGGTATATGTAAATGAATTTTTAAAGCTATGCACATTATTTTATAGTCATAGGACCATTGTGTAAATATGTCTGGCATGCTATAGTTTTCTTTTTTTCTCATTTTCACAAAAGGCTCATATCCTCTTTCTATTCTCTTTGTGAAAAACTTTAAAAATCAGATTCTTTTAAATAAAACAGAAGTGAATGTCATACACAAACATTCATACAAAAATTTCTAGTCTGGAAAAGACTGCAATCCTGTGTGACTTTTTATTCCTTAATTTTGATTTTTTTTTTAAAGGGAACCCCCATCCCCACCCACCCCAGAGACAAGATTGACTTAAATTTCTCCTCCTCTGAGTCAGATTATTTTTCTGACAAAGGAATATGTAGATAAATGACCTGAAATCCCTTATTATGGCCTAGAAAATGTAAAACCAGTGATTTTTATCAATAGTATATTGATATTCAATCTAAATTTGAAAAATCATTACCCTTCAGATCTTCAAGAAGTCCTTGCACCCCATTATTGAGGCCCTGTCCTGACTACACTGTAATTATGATTTCCAAAAACTATGAATGCTTGTCTGAATTGTCAGTTTAAGATGTGACCAGATTAGTCTGGACTAGTTAAGTGAGTGTGAATGTGACTTAAATTAGAACTCTTCAATCTATGATCTCCATATTTGGCTTTATAACCAGCAATAGACATTATAGCAAGATGTGTCACTGTGTGTGTAATACTTACCCAGGCAGGCGGAGCTGACCCATAATTCCACACACCGGTATCATAAAAGGCAAGACGTAGACCACAGGTTTGAAGCTTGAAGGCGTCAACAGAGAAACACAGCTTGGAGCATTGATAAAGAGGGTCTTCTGCTCGAAGAGTCACCAAACAGGAACCAGTAAAAAACTTGTTCCCAATGGCCTTAATGACGATCAAGCCATCACGACCCAGAGTGTATGTCTGACCATCTGTACAAGGGTCCTCTATTGTGACTACAAAATAAAAACAATTGTGTACAGACTCACTGAAATTTTCATCATCTACATCAATACCTACTGTCAATGTGGTCACATTATCTACATCAATACCTACTGTAAATGTGGTCACATTATCTACATCAATACCTACTGTAAATGTAGTCACATTGAAGGGTTCATTGCTTGACAATTTCCAAGTTTTAGAAATTTGGCGATTGAAAACTTTGAAAGTCTACTAGTATCTATATATTGCTCTTCAACAAGGACAGGAAAGATGACGATATTAATTTGTCAATTTCATCTATGTTTTCTGTCTTTTCACCTCGATCATAAAACTTTCCACATTAATGGTACTTTCAATAATTATTGTCACTTAGACAGCACTCAGTGAAGAATATAATCAAAAATCCTTGTATGAAGTTCTAATGATTTGTATAATAATCAATAATTAATCAAGATTTATATAAATGAAGTTTTTTTTTAGCAGTACCTGTATGTATATAAAAACTCACCGGCTTTCTGTACAGACAGACAACATGGTAATAGAGAGATGATTAATACACCAACAGCGATGAATGTGTCGTGTTTCCCATACATATTTACTCTGTCATCTCAACACCATCTACAAAGAACCAAACAAGTTTATTTTAAACATGTAAAACAACTGTACAGCAGATTCTATCATTCATTTGGAAAGCTGCAATTTTTTGCACTGTTCAGCCCTGCACACCTGTGACAAGTGCACATTCTATAAATCAATACTTTTCAGCAAATTGTTATATTTTTTTTATTAAATTTGAATATTCAGAGTTGAATTTAAACATAAAAGATACAATAATTATAATCTCCACTGCTGTTTATGAAACAGTCAGTGAAGAAAAAAGTTTACCTGTATGAAACAAAAAAGATTTTCCTGAAGCAGATCACACAAAGCTTTGTAATTTTACTTTATGATAACCAGATAAAAAGCATCAGGGTGCACTGTGAAAACCTGATCAGGTGTCACACACACAAAGCGTGTCCCCTCCGTTACCTCTACAGACTTGTAATGGTCCATTGCTCAATGCACAGACTATTTTAGAGTAGACAATAATTTTATGGCCATGAATTGACACATCGGTCAGTGATCAAGATCTTTATTTAGCCCCTGTTAAACAGCAACTGTTACATTTGCAGGCTTGTCCCTATTACCTGGGGCCTGGGGGCCAGGGAATTTCCCCACCTATAATGATGTTATCCCCCCCCATTACTCTGGTATTCACCTTCAACCCCCTGTTAGGAGGGGAACCCCAGACCCCTTCTGCTTTTTTAATGTCCCTTGCTATTTTAATTCTTAGAGACAACACTGCATTTGTATCCTCAAGTATATTTTATACACATATGCAACAAAGCCTTTCAATGTACAGTTAAAACAGACAAAGGTATCAGTATTTTTCTAAGATTATTTAGGAGGAATTTGCCAAAAGAAGTTTTAAATTTCAAGGAGGATTTCATTGGTCTCTTCATAGCACCAAAACAATGAAAATAAACCCCCCACAAAAATTAGTGACATCACTGCATATGGAATATGTACAGATAGTGATGTACCGATTAATCGATTATCTAATCGAAATGGCCCTCGATTATAGATTATTGATTATAATTTTGAAAATCAATTATTCAAAATATTACTTAAAAGCAAATTATTCCTATGATTTCTTGATTCATACTTCTTTGAATTTAACTAAATCCGAAATAATAATCTAATAAATGAATCCAATGACAAAAAATATATCAAAAATGTACCCAGTATTCTAGAAGTCACTCCAGAATTTTTAGCCAATTTATTCTTCATTCAAAAATGAACAAATTTTATATTGAAATCAATCGATTATTAATAGATTAATATAGTCCATCCGATTATTCCGATAATAGATTATAAAAGAAATTCCGATTTCCCATCACTATATGTACAGTAGCTGTAGACATGCTCATATCGTGTCCAAAAATTCATGCAGACTTCCACTGTAAGACTTAAATCTTTTTAAACTTTTGACTGACATGACATTAATTAGGGTGAGATTGGGGAGGGGCGGGGGGTGTACCCACAACCTGAATGTAACCTCTTGAATAAGCAGAATGACAGACAGACAGACACTGGAAGACACATACTTCTCCACTGAATAAATAACTAGAATGTCTAAGCAATCTAAACTCTACCTACTGAATCCATATTTTTACAATCATGTGCAATATTTTTCCTGCCCCCATGTCTTCATTTCACTCTCTAAATTCAAATGTCATACCAAATACAACTCATCAATGGCTGGACTATTGCGGGTTCCCACATAAAGAGTAGTACATACCAATTGACTGCAAAGGCCCAAAGACAGTGTTTGAACACATAAATTACATCCTAATCTGTGTACATAGTTGTCAAGTATCCAACATCCGACACAGAGGCTCTGTTCTATAATGAGGACCTATCAATATAAACAAGGGGGATCAGTACCAATGGCCCTTCCTTGACAATGACCATCAGATGACAGAGAGAGATACAATTAATCAATACACAGACTCCTCTTATGAAAAGACCCAGGGACATTGTCAGTATGCTAATCTGATTATGCCTGATTGTATTACAGTGACCAGCGTGTTGATCAATTCTGTCCATCTTTGTGTTGTACTTCTATGGTAATCCAAATGGAATGACTTATTTGCATGATCAAAGGAATGTGTATCAATATGGACATGCCCAAAGATGGCCAGAAATCTTTCTTAATGATGACAAAAGCCTGGCTGATGAGTTTCAGACCATATCCATTATTTTCTACAATATATGGGCATATGTGATGGAATTTTATTCCATATTTGGTAGATATAATAAGCAATCTTTCATCATTTATTGAAATATGTGCCTACACTTAATTATCATTTTGAGATATATTTCCCACATATTTTTGTGTTCTAACTTTCTGTTTCAATGAACTGCAAACAAACCAGTATACTATGTATTAAATGTTCATTGTTGCAAACCACGGCCATTCTGGCAGTGGTTGAAAGAGAAGAGAATATTTCGTAGCTGATTAAAATATTGACCAAAGTGAGTAAAGCATAGTCTAATAATGAACTTTGACGCCTTTCAATACCCAATAGCAGTAATACGAAACATTTCTTGTATACTGTTGATGTAAATTGTTGATTTCAATTGCGATGGAAACAAATATTGTCATTGGCTGAACATGACGTCACAATATAGAGGCGTAAATATTCAAGATTACGACACTTTTTGTGATCAAGCAGCCACGGGTAGGAGAGAGCTATATGCAGACTCCAGACCGTGGCTTGAGACAATGTGTAATGTCTAGCATTGAGAATCCCAGGTGTAATTTTGTGTTATTGGGGCCCGGGGGACTACTATATAGCAAGGGGTCTGGGTACCGCCAAGGTCCTCAGGTCAAGGTGATCAAGTGTTCAAACATGGGCCCGGGGGTGAAGCCCATAAACTCCTGCATTCCAATATTATGACTTTGCATTTGGATTCCTTTGTTGTAACCTTTTAACACACTGACTCATACACACAGACCACTACTTTGAATTGCCACCACCTCTTGTAATCAGGAGCACACATACACTAATTAGGTGTCACGTACACTTTATGACTTATACATGTAATGTTTGTACTAAGTAAGATGAAACTGATTATTGACTGTAAATTGTGTTGTTCGATTCATAAAAGTGCTAAAAAAAGGTAGTGGGACAATAAATTCAAAACATAATTATTTCTTTTACTTGCAGAAAAGCACAGAATTACTGTCAAGGTCTTTTCTATTTATACATTTATATCTAACTCAAGTATGTTTTAATTTTGGACTCATTATTAAAAAAGCACATCTCATCCCCCTCCCCCTTCTTTCAGAATTTTCTAAATAGTTCACTGGAGCGAATACTGTACATAAAATAGACATCAACACGAAAATACCCTAAGTCTCTAGATTCCACCTGCAGCTGCAGTGTATGAATAAATAATCAATCTTTTTAGTTTGAATACAAAAGAAGCAAGCGTACACCACAGGGAAACAATGCAAAACATGCGTTTACCTGTGTAAAACCTGAGAGGTTTTGACAGACTTTGTAAAACTGAGGCCATGTGTTTTTTTTTTGTTTTTTTTTTACAGCCTTCTATACAGGATGTTGAGCTGGGAAGGTTAGGAATTCGCTCTACCCACATTATTATTTGCCTTCAGTAAAAAAAGCGATAATGTACCCTCCAAGGAAATCTGCCCCCATTTTCAAATACTGGTACATGAATGTAATATTTTTTTAAAGCTCAAAAAGATTAAACATCATTATTTCATTTTAGCCATGCAGTATGTGATAAAGGTTTTCACCTACATGAGCTTTGTGTCCTTGTTCATCGATCAAAATACCAGTTGATTATATTTTTTCAATCTGATAGGTGTTTTTTTTTTTTTTTTTTTTAAATTTTTCTCTATCACACACCAGTAAAACATTCCGAGCCATGCTGTAATATATTCTGCAAGTCTAAGAAGATCACGTTCAATAATTAAGGCATTATTTAGTTGAAATTTTCCACTTTAATATTCACATCAATCTTACAACACAAATAATTATCATGGGATTTAAAAGTGTAGTCTGATATGGAATGCTTCATTTTTCTGTCAACCTGAAGCTTAAAATCTGCGACTCCATGTTTGCCTAAAATTGTGAATCAGAATTCTATCCATGATTGTGAAATATGACCCTCATTCAAGGGACAGAATATGACACATTCAGTACTTGTCTGCTCAATTAAGAGAATATCCCCTGGAGATGTCAATAAAAAAAAGGAAAATGTTATATTAGCATAACATCATTAAAATATAACCTCCAGTTGGCTAACACTGATGGAAAGCCTAAGAGAGAGGTTTCTAATACACAGAGATGAGAATGCATTATTATAAGTATTTACCTGTCACAGGGTCCTGGGCACTCACCTTTTTTTTTTTTTTTTTACCAAAATATTTTATCATTAACAATAAAACTCGAATGCTGACTTGAGTTTCACGTTAAGATTTTTTTGTGTACATGTATGGGTGCTGTCTATAAGTTTATGCACAGAAGAAGCTGCTGATCACCATATACTTAGTATTCAATTTATACACAAAGTTAAAACTAAAGATTGCCATGAATAGATTAAAAAAAAAATCTTACGTATTAGCCACAGTGCTATTTTTACTTAAAAAATACTGAGTCACATAATATATAGGAAATCTTTCAAAACATCTAATGTTCACTTACAACAAAACATTAACATTTCTTATCTCTGCCTCATAAATAACAAATAAACAATCATGAGTTTCTACAAAAAAAATTATAATTACGACTACAGTAAAAAACATGCTGTAACTTGAACTTTTATCCCAGTAAAAATGTTCTCAGTCAACAAAGTTTTGATGAACAGAAAGTACTCTAACTACTACATAAAAAATACCACAGAATCAGAACTCTTTAGTGTGCAGCATAGAGAGGTTTCTTAATTTTGCTATGGGAAACCCAAAATATCTGTCTGATCAGAACATAGGTGATAAACAAGGCACGTATGTAATAAAGATTCGGTGAGAGTCTCATTAAATTTTATTCAGTGGTATAGGAGGAGATATGGGTATCCCCAATGTGAAAACTGAAAATGTACTTCTGCAATAAAGTAAAGGTTTCTTTCTATGCCATATTACAGAAGAAACACTAAAGCAGAGAGAAGATCTAGATTTTTGAATTCAAAATTCACTGTAAAACTACCTGTTTGTCTGTTTATCTGTTTGTCCACAAAAACTTTAACATTGCCCATAACTTTTGATTGGTTGGAGCTATGGCTTTCATATTTCACAAGTGTATTCCTTGTGACAAGACCTTTCTTTGGGTACCACCATATTTGACCTTTTGACCTTGGAGTTTGACCTAGTTTTACAAAATTTTACCCAACTTTAACTTTGGCCATAACTTTTGAACGGTTGGAACTAGGGCTTTCATACTTCACATGTGTAATCTTTGTGACAAGACCTTCCTTTGGATACCAACAACTTTGACCCTTTGACCTTGACCTTGGAGTTTGACCTACTTTTGATAAACTTTAACATTGGCCATAACTTTTGAATGGTTGGTGCTAAGGCTTTCATACTTCACATATGTAATCCTTGTGACAAGTCCTTCCTTTGGATACCAACAACTTTGACCCTTTGACCTTGACCTTGGAGTTTGACCTACTTTTGGAAAACTTTAACCTTGGCCATAACTTGTGAACCGTTGGAGCTAGGGCTTTCATACTTCACATATGTAATCTTTGTGACAAGACCTTCCCTTGGATACCAACAACTTTGACCCTTTGACCTTGACCTTGGAGTTTGACACACTTGTGGAAAACTTAAACCTTGGTCATAACTTTTGAACGATTGGTGCTTCAGCTTTCATATTTCACCAGTATATTTCTTGTGAGAAGGCCTTACCTTAGGCACCATCATTTTTTACCATTTGACCTTGACCTTGATGTTTGACTTACTTTTGAAAAACTTTAACCTTTTCTATATCTATTCAATGGTTGCTGCTAGGGCTCTCATATTTCACAGGTATATTCCTCGAGACAAGACCTTACTTTGGGTACCAACATATTTGATTTGCATTTGAGAAAGTTTAACCTTTGCTATAAGTTGCCGTATGGGGGCATCAGTGTTTCACAAACACATCTTGTTGTCCATTGTTTTTACTTTTCGTCCATACTTTTTAAAGCTTAATTCATTTATTTATTTTTTTTGTATTGTTTTTAGCTTTTAAATTACTTTTTATCTATCATTCTTGTATTTTTATGGTATTTTTGAATAGCAATTCTTTAAGATGAAAAATACATTAATGATATATTATTGATTCAAAATTAATACATTTCATTTATTTATTTATTTATTTTTTTTGTACCTTTAATTCTTTCCAGAAAAAAAAAAAACACAACAATAATATATATGTGATACAAAAATAAAACATTTTATTTTTTTATTTTTTTTTTTTACTTTTAATTCTTTCCAGATAAGAAAATACAAAAATAATATGCACAGAAAAAAATACCGGTAATACATTTTATATTATTTTGAACTTTTAATTATTTACAGATAAAAGTACAAAAATAATATATGTTACAGTAATACAAAAATATTTTTATCCAGTGTATTTGTTTCATACTTTTATAAGTACTGTATCATTTTTATACTTAATTTGATAAGAAAAATACAGATAAATATAAAAATAATACATTTTAACTAATCATCCTATCATTTTTTTATTATTGCAAAAAAAATAAAGTATTATAAAAATATATCACATGTTTTTTAGGGTAACGTAAAACCATTATCCTGCGAAAACCTTTGCTGACAGATGCGAACCCTAAATAAACATATATTTTTTTGTTATACTGAATGTATTAGAATGCATTTAAAAGAAAAAGCCACAGTGAACCGTACTACAGTACATACAAACTTTCTACTGTAAAGGTTCATTTAAGGAAAGGATTCACTCTGTATTCTCATACCCTAAATCACTGTTTCTACATTGAGAGATGGAAATTGGTGACACCATGCATGAACTTACTATATAATAATATTTTTTAAACTGACTGGCTATTACATATGTAAATATGTCAACTCATTGTTCTTGTTAACATGCTGTCTCTCTCATGATGTACTGAATATCACGTCCATGAATAATTGCATATATAATATATCAATTAAATGGAGATTGAAAGTTGTATCATACATACGAGTATCAAATTATCCTCTAGGATGTGATTATATAGATAGAATGCATCACTTCTCAGCTTGTGTATTCTGATACTCAGGGCACTGGTGGTGGATCAGTCGAGATAAAAATAATGTTTGCACAGATCAATCACAAACAAATGCAAGTAAAGCTCATTCATGTTTCAGATAATTAATTGATTAAATATGTATGGGTATTGAGCATTTCCACAGAAACATCAAAAGGTTCCACTAAGGGTAACTGTATATCACAGGCAATGCAATGCAAAGCCAATATTGTAAAATATTAAAATTCAGCTGATATAAATCATTGACACTGCCCTTACTTTACTATCTGATTATTACATAATAATGATTTCAAAGAATGATACAAGGGTAGCCTAATTAGATGGCAAAACATTCTACTGTAATCTATTAGGTTAGAACTTAGATCTACAAAGGAAAATCACCATACATTATTGATAGTGACAAAATTCTTTTTTTACCTCATTTACTGTCCTTTTATGCTTAGTTCTCTAGCTGAACTGAACAATCTACCAGCCTAATAAATCATAAAATAAAAATACGATCAACAATTCAAACCTCGTCACAAAATCTGGATGTAATATCGAACCAAGGAACTCTAATCATACATGTATGTTAACGTGTTATACTTGTATTCTGGCCTTAGTGTCAGGCGTTAGTGTCATTCATGCATTCCATTTCCATTATTTCTCTAAGACTTGTTTTTTTTTTTTTTTTCTGGCATGTATGCATTATGCAGTTATGAGAGTATATTCATCAGATCACCGAGTCATGCTCAACATTTTATGGACTATTTTTAATTATTTTTACAGAAGTGGATTCGCTTTTGACTGAAACAAAGGTGTCTCGAAACTGCATCTCGCTGCAACAGCAGCATCACAACAAAAAACACAACATACAGCGACAGAGAGATTACAAAGAAAAGACTAATCTGTTGTTACGTACCTGTAGCGGTTTAGTGAGAAACAAATCCTGTCATAAAATACTTTATCACCTCATCATTCATCAACAGATCATGAGATTTCGATCCTCATCTGAAAAAATGATAATGAATGAATTATCGAGTTATCGCCCGTTCGACTGTGATAACTTTTAAAAGCCTCCGGACAGCACGAAATATTCCGGAAAGACTTTTTTAATTCATTCGCAATCAGGACCCTTTTGAACATACGACAAACATGATTATTAAACAGTACATAAAAATATAGCTATTAACAAATGTGAAATTTGCTAGGATCTAGGATTTTTTCCGGGCGGAGGGGGGGGGGGGGAGGGGGAAGGGTTTCATAAAAAAAAGCTGTATAGTAACTATAATAGAACATATAATTATAGGCCTATGTCTTACGAATATGACGGCATATTCTCGTGCTGTATAACATATGAGATTCACATGGCCGTAGGAACCGGGGGGGGGGGGAGCGTGCCCCCCAATAATTTTGCCGATATATAGAATACTATAGAAATCTATATATGCTTGTCCCCCCTCAATAATAATATCTGAGGACCCCCCCCCCCCTTTTTTTTTTTGCTTGTCAAGGAAATTTGGTAGTTCATAGTCCCAAAACCGAAAATGTATGGTTGTGCCCCCTCAAAGTGAAATTGCTTCGTACGGGCCTGATTCACTTGTGTAAGAGCGAATCACCCAGTTTTGTATATATCAAAATAGATCCACATGTAATTAATTACTTAAGAAATATACTGAATATCAAAGATGAAGTAATTTGTTATGGGAAGCATAAATTTAAGTCACTCTGTCATAAAACCTTATTAGATTATTATGTAAAAAATTGGTAAACAAGTCAACAAAGTTATACTGATGGTAAATTAAGCACGTATGTAAAACTCAAACAAAATTGGGGTTATGAGAATTATTTATCAGTAGTTAAAAAATTTCATCACAGAAAATATCTATGTAAAGTAAGAATTTCTTGTCACAGATTGCAAATTGAAGTGGGAAGATTTCCAAATTTCTCGGCGTTAGATGATGAACAAAAACATCTTTGGTTACTCAATACTGAAGACAAAGAAACTCTTAATTTTGGGGGCAAATTTATAAATGATAACATGTTATAGTAGCCATACACTTTTTATATGTGGTATATTCCTTTTAACTGAAATATAGTACAATATTATTGTTGAAATGAGCAATGTCATTTACCAATTGTTATACTATCCATTGGCATATCCTTTCCTTATTATTGTAATAATTTCATACTTGTCTGTTATGGGCTCTAAATTAGAAAATAAATGTTCTGATCTGTAAAGGAGTAGATAATCTCTTTTTTTTTTATATAACAGCTGATCGTCTGGTTTTATGTAGAATACTAGATCCACATGAATAGGAGAGGATCATCACGTTAAAATTCTGGCACCTGATCCCACCTTTGATGTTTTTTAGGATGCACTGGCGGATTTAGAGGGGGCAGGGGGCCCGCCCCCCCCTTTTGTGTCCAAACTATACATAAGATTTGATAAATCAATTTTTTGGGGTGTGTCCGTAGGCCCCTTCCCCGACCCCAAACTGGTCGGGACCCCCTTTTCAAGATTCCTGGATCCGCCACTGGGACGTGTTTGCTCTGCTCCCGATTTGTATTGTTTTAAAGGACTTTTGAGCTTGATTACTTTCGTTATTTCCATTAAAATGCGTATCATACTAGATCCACATGTATAGGAGCGGACCATTGAGTTTTGTTTAGTCTCCAATTATAATCGATTCATGCTTTCCCGTAGAACCCCCCCCCCCCCACTTTTTTTCTGAGTATAATATTTTGCACAAAAACACAAACACATTTTTAGTTGTAAAGTCAAGCACTGGCGCAAATTCCAGGATTTAGACAATGCATGATTTAAAATAGTAAATTAGGGTTTTGTTTGTTTGTTTTTATTTATTTATTTTTTTAAAATTTAAATTCATTTTTTTCTTTCTTGGCAGATAATTTTGGAATCGCCCCCACCAGTTTTGATCTCTCTCTCTCTCTCTCTCTCTCTCTCTCTCTCTCTCTCTATATATATATATATAATAAAAAAACTTTCAAACACTTTTTGAAATATTTCGACCGTGTTACCGGCCTTCATCAGTCGTGTTTATTTGAATGCATATTTTGCTTGTTAGATTTTTTGGAAAGTTGCCCCCCCCCTCCTCCTTTTGAAATCGTTGCTACGGACCTGTCACGTAAATATAGACTTTTCATTAAAGACAGTTTAAAATTTCCAATATTGTTTTTTGTTGATATTTGATACTTAAGCATTATACTTTCTATCATTATCTAAAGGCAATGAACCGAGCAGTCCCATTTGCCTATAATGAGGAAAAGCTTCGGTGAATTCATTATTAAAGACAAACCTTTGTTAAAATGATATATAGATGCATAGGGAAATGTTTAAATATTGCTTTGTTTAAATACTTTGAGGAAAGATGACCCTACTAAATTATGGAGGACGAAAGTGGGTAAGCATTTAAAACATAAAGAATTGTTTACAGTCATGCGATGCTGCATCCCCTTGCATTTTTGGGGAGAGGGGTTTATTTACTTTATACCAAAGATCATCTTGTTTCCCAACCATATACGTGGTTCTGTTGAGAATTATTCTGTGGACATATGTAGATAGTCCCATGGCTACGTACTTTGTTCAGCACATTTTTAAGGCAAATTTTAAGAGAGCTCATCCTAAATTAAGTAACATGCACTTCAATAATTGTTTCCTCTCTAAAAATTATGACGCTGTCCCCATGACCGTAGGAACCGGGGACACGGGGGGGGGGGTGCCCCCAATAGTTTTGCCGATTTATAGAAAACTATAGAAAACATAGCTACTATATGCTTGTGCCCTTTCAATAATAATGTCGGATAACTTTTTTTTTGCTTGTCAAGGAATATTGGTAGTTGATAGTGCCCCCGCCCCCACTTAAAATGTATGGTTGTGCCCCCTCAAAGTGAAATTGCTTCTTAAGGGCCTGGACTCCCATATACAAAATAAAAATACTTTTGTAAAATATTTCACTTTAAAAAGTCCTATATCAGTAGTTATGTGCATATAGAACTATATTTATATTGAACTTTTCTTTAAATTCACTTTTTCTTATCGTAGGTTGGGAAAGAGCATTAAGCGAAATCGACCAACAGCAAAACGCCCTAAAGATTGGACTGAACATAATAATGTACCAGAAAATTCGAGCGAACCTTCACCAAAACAGGACACCGAAAAGGCAAGTTTGTGGCAAAAACTTAAAAACGTCACCAAAGCTAAATCTAACGAAGAACACCCTATAAAAACACAAGAAAACGCGACAGCCACAAATCCATCGAGTAACTGGGACCATCTTTTGAACGACAAATTCCCTGATTCGTCAAACAAGCCCCGCCCTATGATTGACATAGGTACTCCCATACGCAAAACTAGGGAGGAGAGTTCGATTCCGAAGTCCCAGTCTCAGTGGCTGCAAGCGTTCCGGGCCATCTCTGAAATGAAGAGAACAGAATCGAACCAACCGAAACCGATGGACCTAAAACAAATGGATCGGAAGTATGAACCTGTCACTGTCAATCAGTCTGCATCAAGCGAAGTAGGCCGTCCTAAGCCATCAACAGAAAACATAGGTATTTCCGTGTTTTCCATGTTCTTAGGCCATCCCAAGTTTTTTCTCTGTTTAGCGTCCACCCATCTTTCAAAAAGCTACCTACCTATTCGCAAAAAAAACACACAAACCAAAAAATAAAACAAAGACTTTAGGCCATCATTAAAAATATCTTTTTTTCCCCCAACCCGACCCCAAAATCTCAAGTTGGGTCGGTAGGTAGGTAAATTATATTTTTTTCTGACAGCAGTTTTGGAAATACATTCTGAAAAATTGAATAATATCTTTATAAATAAGAAAGAACAAAAGAAACCGATTTTTAAACCGAATACCATACAAATGAACAATGAACAACATGTATGGTAAATTAATTCACAAATATTATTCATTTGAACATGTGAAATATCTCAGGCCAGCGTAAATTTATTGAAATCGAATATTTACAAAAACACAAGATTCGCAAATACAGAACCATCGGACATTTGAGTACATTTTTCAAACCTACTATGATTTTCGAGCTTACACAGACAAAAAGGGCCTTGCGTGGCGCAGTAATTCTAGTGTTTCGTTTTGGAGTCACGACGTAATTCAGGAGCTTGTTCTAAGTCACAGGTCCCAACGTGGGACGTGGAGACCGGTCAGTCGAATAAGACCGTAAAAAACGTAGGTCCATTGTCGGAGTATACATGTAGATGGCACGTAAAAGATCCCTTACTGATGCTTAATAATCAATGGCCATAAGTCCGAGTAAAAGTCTAAATCAGGAGACCTCCACCGGCTCAACAATTTCTAAAAGTATTTTAAAGCAAAGAAACAACCTGTTTTCAAGGGCCTAACTAAAGAAAAATAAACTGGACGTCTCAGGAAGCCGTACCATAAGCAAATTTTAAAGATTTCAACACTATTTGGAAATAGTGTACATGTATAAACAATGTATAATTCAACCAAACCATATCTAAAATGATTAAAGTTTCATATATCCAATTTTATAGTCACGGAGTTAATACCCCATGGATGAAAGGAATAAAGAAACGACATCTGAATTTTATTTATCAAGATGAAATAATCATACAAAGACATATTTACAACTCCTATGGTCCTATATAGTAAAAATGGGATCATACATGAACTGTTTATTAGATCGAAACGAATCAAATGCAGTGAAATTTTTTATATGTATTCACAAGGAGCGCCCCTCATCTGCTCAAGAGGCAGGCTTTGCTATGCGTACTACGTACGTAAATTTTAGAAGACACATTTGTAAATACCATCTTAACACTCCTTAGTCATGGTACATTAATTCACGAGATGTCTCAAGAGTTTAGGATTCTAATAAGTTAAAGATGTATAAGATTAATACGTCACCATTGTTTTATAACACGAACTAACCCTCTGTGGCCACATGTTGTGGACACCAAACAAAAGCCGCCGTTCTGTTAAAAAAACGGATTTTGATGAAATTGTATTTTATAAAGTTGATTAACAATAAAAAAATATTTCAATAATCTAATTAAAAAAAACTTTTCAGTCGGCACGATTTAAGTGGGTCGGTCGCGTTAGGGGAAACAAAGGTAATTTTTATTTTGGCCTTATCAATCTCCTATGCAGAGTTGTCGTTCGTTCCTCTCTCAGACACCTCTGCAATGGGCTCGCGTCAAGATTTTTGACAAAACGTAAAAAACATAACATTTCAAGGATTATTTTAAATTAAACTAATAGTTTTATATCTATTTAGTAAATATCTATCTTTAAGGACTATCATTAGCTCAGACATTTAATTATAATGAATTAAAACAAACGCACTATTTCTCGTGCTTATCACTGTGATTTACGCGAGCCAACGACAGAGGTGAATGGTAGAGAGTGAGACTTTATAGTCGTAAAAATGACGTCATTCAAAAGATATGTTTTGATAAATCTATTTTCTTCGTTGAAAGATCTATTCTTCAGCAAAACCGAGGTATTAAATGCTTAGAATATTCCTTATATGACATATTATTGACAAATATTTATAGAAATTGACAGAATTCAAAGATTTTGACCAGAAAAATCGATTTTAGGACTCCTGATTCTGTTTGTTTTTTTCTGATATTGGGTGTCAAAAACCAAGGCGCAAGCGGACGCTAAACATAGAAAAAACTTGAAATGGCCTTATATATTTCTTGGAGATATTATCTGAGAAGCTCTGACCCGAGGGTCATAATGCTCATCTACATGATGCCTCTCTCCCTGACAAAAAATGTTCATGAAACTCCTTTTTGCCCTGACCTCTAATCCTAGCCCCTGAGGTCATGATTTGAACAAACTTATATTTGTACTATTTATAACTGAGTTTTATCTTTGCTGATCCAGTGGTTGTTGTCTAGTAGACATTTTTAATGACCATATCCTATAATTATTGTTTATTAAACATTTTCTCTTTTCTATTTGGCAAGGCCGTTCATATGATGAAATCCAAAGTCCTCTTAGGCAATAATGCATTATGTCAAATTTGGTTGAAATTGGCCGGCTGTTGTAAATGTGAAACTTTAAGAGACTGCAGAACTGACGACAAACATCGGATACTAGTAATCAAGTAAGGTAGTTTTTGCTTGGGTAAGCCAGCAAGCACGGAATCCCACAGTCTCAAAAAGAAATTTACACAATATTTAGCTCACCTGTGTTGGAAGTTTAAATGAGCTTTTCTTATCACATTTTTTTGTTTGGCGTTTGCTGTTTTCATCAGCAGATTTCCCCCTATATACACTGTATTTCCTTGTAAAATTTTGATCTCCTATTGTGGCCCCGCCTACCTCAGGGGCCATGACTTGAACAAACTTGAATCTACACTACCCAAGGATGCTTCAGTACAAATATGTCTGATGTCTGATCATGACTGCTATTCTTGAGAAGAAGATTTTTAAAAGATCATTTTTCTATGTATACTACGATGTAAAACTTTGATCGCCCATATTTTGGCCCCAAACTACCCCCGGGAGTCATAATTTAAACAAATTTGAATTTGCATGTACACCATATGATAAAGCTTTCACATTAGTTTTATCTTTTCTGCCCTAGTGGCGCTTGAGAAGAAGATTTTTGAAGGATGCCATTATTTTTTCACTCATTCTTAATGATCTCCCTTTGAAAAAAAGTGTGACCCTTCATTTAAAAAACTTGTATCCAATTCACAAGGATGCTTTGTAACAAGATTGTTTGAAATTGGCCTAGTTATTCTGGAGAAGAAGTCGAAAATATAAAAAGTTTACAAACGGATGGACGGATAGGGCCATTTAGTCACTCAGGTGAGCGTTATGGCTCATGGGCCTCTTTTTTTATAAATCATATGGAATATGTTGGACTTTTAAATAAATTATGTATTATTTGTCGCTTTAGATTCGTTCTGGTTGCCCTCACCACGGACTTCACGCCCAAACACTCGCCAAACCCATATGGAATTCTGGGGAGCCGAAGACTTCTGTTTTGACACAGTTTCTGTTGATCCCGAAACTACACAAGATGAACATTCTTGGAAAATGTCATAAGAAAATGACCGCTGTTGAAAACAGTATGGTTTTAATTAGCTGGAACACTCAAAAGACTCACTGAAAATAAACAAACGTGAAATAAGGTTCTCTTACATGTGTGTTTTAATTTTGTTCTGTTAATTACACTTCAGAAATGCGACGTGATTATTCATTGTTTTGAACATATTTTATTGAATTAATCAAAAGGATTGGAAACAAGTTCTTGCAACTTACTGGTTCCTCTCCTGAAATATAACAATATGTCATGCAAATAATACATTAAAATATAATATTTTCAAGTGATATATAAAGTGAATAAGACGTCAATTTAAAATCTACATGTTTCATCAATAAATTTATGAACAGCAGCAAAAATATTGTTATTAGTAAGTACAGGCAAATTATTATCACCCCATAATAACAGGTTTGTGTCAATTGTAACCAATTCATCAAGTAAAAACAGGTGATTGAAAAGATTGTTCCTAGCATTTGCATAATTTCTACAAGCAAAAAAATAATGATAAGCATCTTCATACTTTCCGCATGAACTGAGGGGATTGTTGATGATATTGCGTCTATATAGATCATAATTAAGTAAACAGTTGTGTCTTAGTTTAGTATGAATTATGTTTGTGTAGCGTTTGCCAAAAGAAAAATACGTTGGCGGATAGCTGATTTTTGTACAAGCTCTTAAGTTTTTACGAAATGAATTAATTGAAATGGCTTGTCTTGTTTCTAAATTTAATAAGTTCCATTGTTTCACGGCGTCTGGTACAAATGACCTTTTGAATAGTTCTAATCTACATCTTGGGATAATCAACTGCTCTTTGTTGCGGGTATTGTACTTTGATACATTTTCATGCTTGTTTGGTATAATATTACTTAAATATTCAGGAACAGTCCCTTTATGAATTTTGAACATAGTAGTCATTTTTGCAATATAGCGCCTAAATTTTAAAGTTTCCGAACCAGTTTCTAAATAAAGTGTTTCTGTAGACGCAAAAATAGGGAGTCCTGGGACAATTCTAGCCGCAGCTAGTTGTACTTTTTCAAGTTTTTCAGAATCATATTCAGAGCAACCATCCCAAACAATAGAAGCGTATTCAAGCATTGGTCTAACTTTTTGTGACCTATGATTTAGATAACTAGAAAACCACTGGAGGAGATCCCCGGATAAACCATAAGTTTGTAATTTAAAAATGAGACCTTTGTGCCATACTCTGTCAAATGCTTATTTATTATGATTATTCATTCTCAGAGAGAGAAAGAGAGATCGCTTATATAATTTAGTTAAAACTTTCTGATTCTCCGAAGTTGATATGAAAAAGATACTGGAGTTCCTCATAGACAATTTCTATGTAATCTCTTCCAACAATCTGTTGGAATGACAATGTTCACTAATTGTGCTCCTTTATTAGCCGACCTGTTTTTTATATTCCTATGAAGCAGAATTAATATTCAAAAACTTCAACATGAGAAGAATTAAAGTCTTGCTGTGGCTTTCAACTCAACATTTAGATATGTCGACGACGATTGAAAAATTTGAGATGTTTTGTCGTGATTTTATTTTTTAATAAAATGTACAGGTTACAATTGATATGCCTATAAACATCATTTAAGACATTCATCATATATCATTATTGTCTGTTAAATGTATCTAAAGGTCGGTGCTTTTATCTATCGATCTATCTATTGTCTGTTTGCCAGTTTGTATTTTTAAAAATCTGTGACATGAAAATGTCCCCAACTTTCAATTAAATACACTGTATTATATTTGTCGGTTTATTAAAATTATGTCATCTTAACCAGTTTTTCAGTGAATTTGATAATGCTGTATAGCAAAGATGTACGGAAGCCGGTTGGTGCCAGGTAGAAAAAATATTTTATCTGGCGGCCGCCACATAAATAACTGGCGGCCGCCAAATAATTTTCTGGCGGCCGCCAGATAACTTATCTGGCGGCCGCCAGAAACTTATCTGGTGGCCGCCAGATAAAATATTTTTCTACCTGGCACCTACCGGCTTCCGTAAAGATGAGAGATTCAAGTTGTTTTATTACTGAAATTAAGATCTGTTCATCTTTGAAAACTGGAA